CCCCAAAACCCCAAAACCCCAAAACCCCGCAAAGAGGTATATTAGATATTTTAGGATTCAGTAATAAATTAATAAAATGATTAAGTAGAGCCTGCTTGTACTTGCCTGTTTCCTGTCAGTTTCTTAAGCTTGGTGGAGAAATGGTCACCTTATGAGTAAGTTTCTCCTTAATTTTTAACTTATTCCCAGCTGCCAGAGTTGCTTATGACTAACTCTCCAAGACTCATCCTCATGTACTCGAAAAAGCCAATCAAATGTTGAAGGGACTGTCAGATTATACAACTTTTGAGAGGGACTATCCCTTTGTTGAATGTGCATCTTGGGCAGATGAGATAAAAAATTAAGGGCTCGACTTGCAAAGCCACTGGCATTTTGTTGATGATCCATTCTTCGATGAGGGCTATCAAAAGCCTGATTGGTATCCAGAGGCATATAACGTCACCTGGGCTCTAGTAAGTGATTAATCCCATGTATCTATTTTGAAATGCTCAGATGATTTTTGTACTTAATTAGTCATTCATGATTAATATTTACAGATCATTAGCTAGCCTATCATATTTTTCCATTATATGACTACCTACTTAAAGCAAATTTATTCATTTATTTTTCTTAGAAAGAATTTGTGAAGTACTTATCCAAAGACCCTAAACCCTAGAATGATCCATAGATTCCAGTTTTATTTGGAGAGGGATTTAATCTTAGACTAATGATTCATTATGTAGGAGACATTCATTAGCCTTTACATTCGGTTTCCAGATTTACCTAACAATTCCCAGATGGTGATGAAGGAGGTAACTTTTTTATGCTCAAGGAGTTTGATGGCATTACTGAACTTCATGCTTTATGGGATTCTGTAGTTTCTGCCTTCTCTAATGATCATGACCTCCCCTTGAATAGTACCACCTGGCAATTTTTCGGGGATAACTCTTTGAGAATTTAACAGGAAAATCCAAGGGAGTCATTTGATAATTTAGACAGACCTATTGACTAGTGGCACTTGGAAGGCTATTAAATTGCTAGTGATTTCGCTTATAAAAATATACAACAAAATGAAATCCCATCCCAAGAATACCTCTAGCAAGGAATTAAAATTGCTGAGAGGCAGATTGCAAAGGGAGGCTACAGACTTGCTAACCTTCTCGTCAAGATGTGGGACAAAAATCACACAATGACCCAATAATTTGAAGAAAAGACCTTTTTATAATGATTAGACTTAATTGGAATTAATATTAAATCCGCTCAAAATGTGTTAAATTTATGCACATGGGGTTTTGGGGTTTTGGGGTTTTGGGG